GATTGTGAAATTGTATGGAGGGTTAGAAAATTTAAGTAAATTGGGTTAAGAAGGCAGCTCTCTCAGACTCCTGAGTCCTCTTCTTTCCCTTCCTTTGTGGCCCAAGTGTAAAGTCAAATGCAAAAGAAGTCAAAGGAGGGCTTGACTACCCCCCCAGGCCCAGCCTGAGAAGGTCATGCGAGCTCAGCAGAATAAATGGGCTCACCCAAACTGTGCAGGGTCACCTGAACCAGGTCTGGCAACAAAAACAGTTCTTTCTCTGACCTTGGTTGAGGGCGTCCACTCTGCATGGCTGAGTTCTCTGGCTTGGTCTACCCCTTGGGTATCTACGTTTCTCAGTTGCTTCCATCCATAGCAATTTGCTGTAGATGTGGGTGTATTGGGTGCATGAGTATATGTGCATGTGCATGTGTGTGTGTGTGTGAGGGGTGCAGGTGGAAGGGATGCAAATAAGTGAGCAGTGTTTACTCTCTAGCAAGCAGACAATTGAGCAGAAGTTCCAATCGCCTAATGGTAAAAACATAATGGTAAAAGATATAGGCTTCTGAATCAGACTGTCTGGGTTGGAAGGAAGCATGACTTCAGGGACTTGAATAATGTAACCTCTTGGTGAGTCAGTTTCCTTGTCTGTGAAGAAGAGATGGTAATGGCCACCTTACTTGAGTGTTGGAAGGAGCTAGTATACCCACAGCACTTAGGAAAGTTTCACTATTTAGAAAGTACTCAAGTTTACTTCCTAAATAACTCATGAATTCATCTTTTTCTCTTCAACATAACTTCCTAGTGGAGATGGCCAACATCCATGACGTGTATGGCAGCTGCTGCCTCCGAATCGATCTCCAGTAGCCAACTGTGTGACCGGGACAAGGCCCTCCCACATCCCAGGACACCTGCTTTTTTACTGTGCACAAGGAGATCACCTGTGGTGAGCTGGCTGGGGTTTTGGAAGCTGCATGGCACGTGTGCTGTGTGTCTTTTTCATGATGAGGGTGGAGGAAAGGAGAAGGGAGGGAGGTGGCCATAAACTGATGGTATCAATGGGCTGAGCCCCATCTCCCAGGGAGCGACCTGCACACCACAGTGGGATGCAATGACTTACTGGCAATTAATAAGGCACAAGATGAAGACAAAGTATAATTATAGTGTGTTAGTGCCATGAACGAAGCAGAAATGGCCATTGTGGCCATTCTGGCAACGAAGGGTCACAAACATGTTTTTTGTGTCCAAAAATGGGTGAGGAAAGAGACAGGAGGAATGAGTTAAAGAAAATCCCAGCGAGGATGTGAAAACATGCTCCGGCAGAAAATGACTTCTGGAAGAGATTAGGATAGAATTGGCTTCACAGCAGGTCCTGATGCTCTGGGCTACGTACCAACAGACAAGATGTCTTGAATCTCCAGGGGGTCTCCTGGAGCTGTCAAGGCCTTCTGGGTCCTTTCCACCTCAAGTGGAGAATGTCCATGAAAAATCCGATCTTCCCAAGGCTGATCTCATAAAGGTCTGTCTCCTGATTGTGGACAAGAGACAGAGCCATTTCTGCCGGGGAATATGCTTACACAAAAAGTGGTTGTTTTTTTCTCCACATGGAGGGAACATTTTTAGGTAGAATTTTAGGTAACTTTTTTTTTTTGTATTAGCTGTGGTCTGTCATATGTGGACTTTTTAGGTAACATTTTAAGTAAAACTTCTTTTCCCTTCCTTCCTCTCTCCCTTCCTTCTCTCCTTCCTGCTGCATTTATTAACTGTCTCCTGTATCTCAGGCATGGTGAATATAATGGAGACAAATTAGTTATGGTCCACGCTGTCACGGACCTTACTTTTAATGGGTAAAAGTAAATTAGTAAAACGAACACACTAATGAAAATATTAGTAAAACAAACACACTAGTGAATATATAATCCAAAGCTAAGATAAGTATGCTGAAGGAGTGAAGTACGATTCTAACAGAACCCAAAGAAACCAACCAGGCGTGCTAAGGGATCTGGGAAGACTTCCCTGAGGAAGAGGCATGCTTGAGTGAGCATCTCCTAGATGGAGGTGGAGGTGCGGGAGGGGATGGAATGAGAAAGACTGGCTCAGGTAGAGATTCGATTGGGAGGACAAAAGGGCCTGGGCTGGCGAAGAAGCCAAGAGGGGTGATGAAGGAGTGGCCCAAGGTGCAGATAGGGAGGGAGGCGGAGCCGACCCTGTAGACTTCTGTCCCAAAGAGGCTGTTTCCTCCGAGTGGAACAGAACCAGACCTCCCCACCTTGACCTCCAGTTGCTGCAGGGGGCAGTGTCAAGACTCAGAGAGAGATGTAGCTCCAAGATCCCTCCAACCAAACTCAGAGCAAGAGGGTGCTGCAATTCCCGGGCCGTCTTGACACTCAGAGCTTATCCCAGAAAATAGAGATATTTTTTTTTTGTATTAGCTGTGGTCTGTCATATGTGGACTTTTTAGGTAACATTTTAAGTAAAACTTCTTTTCCCTTCCTTCCTCTCTCCCTTCCTTCTCTCCTTCCTGCTGCATTTATTAACTGTCTCCTGTATCTCAGGCATGGTGAATATAATGGAGACAAATTAGTTATGGTCCACGCTGTCACGGACCTTACTTTTAATGGGTAAAAGTAAATTAGTAAAACGAACACACTAATGAAAATATTAGTAAAACAAACACACTAGTGAATATATAATCCAAAGCTAAGATAAGTATGCTGAAGGAGTGAAGTACGATTCTAACAGAACCCAAAGAAACCAACCAGGCGTGCTAAGGGATCTGGGAAGACTTCCCTGAGGAAGAGGCATGCTTGAGTGAGCATCTCCTAGATGGAGGTGGAGGTGCGGGAGGGGATGGAATGAGAAAGACTGGCTCAGGTAGAGATTCGATTGGGAGGACAAAAGGGCCTGGGCTGGCGAAGAAGCCAAGAGGGGTGATGAAGGAGTGGCCCAAGGTGCAGATAGGGAGGGAGGCGGAGCCGACCCTGTAGACTTCTGTCCCAAAGAGGCTGTTTCGTCCGAGTGGAACAGAACCAGACCTCCCCACCTTGACCTCCAGTTGCTGCAGGGGGCAGTGTCAAGACTCAGAGAGAGATGTAGCTCCAAGATCCCTCCAACCAAACTCAGAGCAAGAGGGTGCTGCAATTCCCGGGCCGTCTTGACACTCAGAGCTTATCCCAGAAAATAGAGATCATTAAGTTCCATGCTAATTCTCAGCAAATAGGGATATGATGATTTGCAGGGACCTGGAACAGTTGAATCGGCAGGTGACTCAAATCATGAGCTGGAGAAGGTGAGGGCAGACAGCTGCTTAGTAGCACATGTCTCTGGAGGAAAGAGACAAAGAGGGTTCTGGGTTTTTGCTAACACAAGGTGGGAACTAAAAGGAAGCCCATTAAAAACATATGATTTAGAAAATTAATTCGGCTGCTGTAACTGGCTTAAGAAATAGAAGGTCATTTTTTCTTTTATGTATAAATAGAGATATACGGTTCAAAGCTGGAAGGGAAGCTCACCCATCACCAGGGAGCCGAACTCCTTTTTTTGTTGATGTTGCTCTGCTTCCCTCCATATGCAGCTTTCATCTTATGGCCCCAAAATGGCTGCTCCAGCTCCCATCATCACATCTTATATTTCAATTGACAGGAAAAAGGAAAGGGAGAGAGGAGAGCATGCATCTCTCCTTGAAGACAATGACAAGGGTGACACATTTCACTTCTATTCACATCTCCCTGCCCAGCACATAGCTTTATAGCTACACTTAGCCTTGCTGGCTTCTCCATGCCCTCCTGACCCATATTCAGCTCACGTCTTCATTCTCAAGGATCTAATGATATCTTGCTTCCTCCTTGTCAAAGCCACAGCCTCATGGTTTACTTCCTTAGACTGAAGCTATGGAGAATGAAAGGAGGGAAGTCAGGGACCTCAATTCTAGCCCTAACCAGAGACAAGCACAAAGTGAGACCTAAATCTGTTTGTTTCTCTTTTCTGGGTCCTAGCATCTCCATTTGTAAGATGAGGTCATTGTACCTTTTTCAACGTATTTGCTCACTTAGGTTCTAGAAACTTCCTCACCATCTTCTGCAGAATTCCATGGACTAACATCTTTGTTAGGGCTGAGATGCTTGCCCCAACACCACCCATGGTTATTCTGAGCCCCAGATCACCCAATTGTCCATTTCATCTTTCAAACATTCCCTCAATGGCTGCAGCCTCAAAGTCAACCTTTGTTGGTGGATGGAGGAGATCACAAAAGCTTCGTCTCTCCCCAAACCCAAACTCCATCTAATTGTAGAGTAATATAAACCTGAACTGAGCATGTGGCCACTGAGCTAAAGGTCTTCCAGGGTCTTTTGCAGCTAAGGGTGGCCACATGAGTAAGTACTGGCCAATAGGAATGAGCAGAACTTGTACGTACAACTGTCAGGTCATATGCTTAAATGGGAGGGACATGTCTTTCCTTCTTACTTCCTCCTTCCTGCTGGTCACAGGTATGAGGAAGGGTACCAGGTGGAATGCAAGGTGGAAGCCTTACATAGCAAGGTAATCATGAAGCCCCCAACCCTCACTCCAAGCCGGGACTGCCTATCTGGGATTTTACCTTGCAACTCTGTTGTACTGGGTCTCTGCATATGAAAACACAAATCTATATCCTAATTAATACAGACTTTGGTATTAGGAGAAGGATGTTACCCCCATAGAACCCCAAATATATGACATTGGCTTAATACAGTGATTCTCAATCAGGGAAAATTCTGCAGTTCACCCCCCTACCATTCCCCAGGATATTTGGCAAAGTCTGGAAACATTTTAGGTTGTCTTGCGTTGCAGACATCTGTTACTGGCATCTCCTGAGCCAAGGATGCTTTTAAATGTCTTCTATTACACAGGACAGTCCCCCACCCCCCCAGGGCAAAGAATGATCTGGCCCCAAATGTCAGCAATGCTACAGCTGAGAAACCCTGGCTCAGTGGGAAGTGGTAAGGATACATGCATGCATTTGGGGAAGCTGGTTGCTCATGTTCTGCTATGATAAAACATTAGGTAAAGCCGCTCATTACCATGTGGGCAGAGCTGGTTGGTAGCTCTAGAGGAAATGGTTTTAAAAATTTAGAATGTCAGAGTGTTGTTGACTGCTTCTTGCTGCTGTCAGCAAAGTCCCGTAAAAGCAAAAGGTTGGACACAGAGCACAGCCAGACAGCACGCAAGCAGAAACAGAGGGAGCAGACTTGCTGAGTGAAAGAAGCCAGGTGCAGAAGGCCACACAGGTATCATTCTTTTTATATGAAATATCCATAGAGACAGAAAGCAGATTAGTGGTTGCTATGGTCTGGGGCAAGGGGGGCCGATAGGAATGACTACTTCCTGGGTATGGGGTTTTATTTTAGGGTGATGATGTTTTGGGGTTACATAGTGACGGTTGGTTGTATGTAGGACATAAAGCTTCAGTGAAGAGGAGTTCGATGAGGGAGAAAGAGAGAGAGAGAGAGAAGCGGGGGCCATCCAGAATTTTTAGGCATATTGAGTATATTTATTTGTTTAGGAAGAATCACTAATATATATTGGCATGGAAATGGCTAAATAATGACATAAAACAAAGTTAAGGTATTATAGGCATATTAGGTCTATTTAGGTGAACTTGTCAGCTCATCATTCCTCACAGATAGAACTGATCAGAAATCAATAGGCTGGAAGTCTATTAAATTTTTTGAGAGAATTTTATTATTGAAGAAATCAGAAGCATGGTTTGTGCCAAAAAGCCTGTGATTGTTCAAACCCCAAAACATCACAGGCTTTATGTTGATACTAAAGAAGAGATACTAAGGAAGAGAGCTTTGCAATTTGCACACCCCCCCTCCCCAAGGTCCTACCTCTCACGCCCACTTATGATGTATTTTTGGAGAAAGAGAGACAAGCAAGTCCCTTACAAGGGCCAAGAAAGAAGTTATGGAGGACAGTGGGCAAAGAAGTTACTCTAGAAGAGAAGAATGAAGTGGGAAAGTGAAGCTTTCCTGTTACTCTTAGTTTATTCAGATTCCCATTATGGCCGAACACATCATATCACAGTCAGGAAGAGCACGTTGCATCCTGTGCGATGGGCTGTCACTTCTGAGATTGTGTTTACAGAAAGACTCACGTCTGTTTTGTTCTCTCTCTCTGGCTCATCTTCCTTGCCTTGGTTTTCACACTTCAGTGATGTGAGCTGCCACGTTGGAGTGGCCCGTGGGGCCAACAGCCTGTAAGGAACCGAATCCTACCATAGCCTTGTGAATAAGCCTGGAAGCAGATCCTCCCCACACAGAGCTTTCAGATGAGACCACAGCCCCAGCTGACATCTTGACTTCAGCTTTGTAAGAGACCCTGAGACAGAAAACTGAGACACAGTAAATGTTTCAAACTGCTGAGAATTTTGGTAATTTGTTACATAGCAAAAGATAACAACCATATGTTGCTGACTCCTTAACAGAAAACAATGTACTGTTGATTTCTTGCAATGCTGACCCCTGCATATAACCACAAGGAAGAACTACTGTTTTTCTCACCAATTAAAATACTGAACAAAATAACCAAATTTTTGTGGTTTTTAAAAACCATCTGTGAAACCTTTTTTTTTGGTATCATTAATCTACAATTACATGAGGAACATTATGTTTACTAGACACCTCCCATCACCAAGTCCCCCCCACATACCCCATTACAGTCTCTGTCCATCAGCGTAGTAAGATGCTATAGAGTCACTACTTGTCTTCTCTGTGTTGTACAGCCCTCCCCATGTCCCCCCTACATTATACATGCTAATTGTAATGCCCCCTTTCTTCCCCCCGCCTTATCCCTCCCTTCCCACCCATCCTCCCCAGTCCCTTTCCCTTTGGTAACTGTCAGTCCATTCTTGGGTTCTGTGAGTCTGCTGCTGTTTTGCTCCTTCAGTTTTTTCTTTGTTCTTAAATTCCACATATGAGTGAAATCACTTGGTACTTGTCTTTCTCCGTGTAGCTTATTTCACTGAGCATAATACCCTCTAGCTCCATCCATGTTGCAAATGGTAGGATTTGTTTTCTTCTTATGGCTGAATAATATTCCATTGTGTATATGTACTACATCTTTATCCATTCACCTATTGATGGACACTTAGGTTGCTTCCAATTCTTGGCTATTGTAAATAGTGCTGCGATAAACATAGGGGTGCATATGTCCTTTTCAAACTGGAGTGCTGCATTCTTAGGGTAAATTCCTAGAAGTGGAATTCCTGGGTCAAATGGTATTTCTATTTCGAGCTTTTTGAGGAACCTCCATACTGCTTTCCAGAATGGTTGAACTAATTTACATTCCCACCGGCAGTGTAGGAGGGTTCCCCTTTCTCCACAACCTCGCCAACATTTGTTGTTGTTTGTGTCAAATCTTTTTAAGAAGATATATCAAATCTTAATTCTGAGAGACAGTTCTCTGAAGGTGAGACTCCCTTGCAAGTTAAAACAAAATGTTCTCAGTTCTCAAGTTTACTCCTGCATTTTCATTTTACCATTTTTTCTAAGTTGGGAAACACATATAACATTGCGTAAGTTAAGGGGCACAGCATAGTGATTTGATTTATTTATGTTGCAATATGTTTGCTACTTTAGTGTTAGCTAACCCCTCTGTTTCATCACATAATTATCATTTCTTCTAGGGGTGGAAACAAATAAGATCTATAGATCTATCCTCTTAGCAAGTTTAGTATTTGTAACACCGTTTTGTTGTCTCTAGTTACCGTGCTGTGTATCAGATCTCCAAGACTTATTTACTAGTTACACATATGATGCCCTCACACATTCCAAGTTTTTCTTGGACAAAAGGATCTTACTCTATTCCCGGAGAAGGACGTCTTTAATCATTTGCATAGAAGGATTTGCCATTTGCTAGCGACCAGGTACTGCTCAGTGTTAACTCTGTTCCCTTTCACAGTGGGGGTTTTAAATCACCACTCTTGTTGGAATCCCAGGACTGTTGATTTGATGTATGGAGCAGATAACTTACTTTCTGGTTTACTGATCACAAGACCAGGAGTCACTGCATTTGAATTTGATGGAGAGGGAACTTCTCATCACCCAGGGGTCCTACAGTTTGATGCAGAAGTATTTATGATGGGACTTTAGGGTGTCACCCTAAATCGAAGTGGAGGAGACATTGGTCAAAGGATACAAGCTTTCAGTTATAAGATGAGCAAGTTCTGGAGATCTAAGGCACAGCATGGTGATTATAAGTTAACAATACTCTATTCGATACTTGAAATTTGCTAAAAAGGTAGATCTTAAGTGTTCTGACTGCACACACACACACACACACACACACACACATAAAAGGAAGTGGTGACAATGCAAGGTGACGAATATGTCAATTAGATTGTGGCGATAATTTCATAATGTACACATATATCAAACATTAAGTTGTACTTATTAAACATATACAGTTTTTATTGGTGATTACACCTCAATAAAGCTGTTACAAATTTTTTATTTTTACTTTGAATATGACTACGAGAACCATTTAGTTTAGTTTGGAGTTCCTCTGCCTTAACACAATTGACTATTTTTGGCCAAGTAATGCTTTGTCATGGTGGGGGTCTGCCCTGTGCACTGTGGGACATTTAGTGGCATCCCTGGTCTCTACCCACTGAACGCCAGTAACACCCTTTGTTGTGACAACCCAAACTACCTCCAGACATCGCCAGATGACCCCTGGGGCACAGGGGCAGAATTGTTCCTGATTGAGAACCTCTGTTTCATCCAACTTGTGTTGGGATTAAACTACTGTTTCCATCCTGTGCAAGTCTTCCCAGGACAGCATCCCTCGCCAAGTTCTAGCCTGAGGTTGATTGCTTCTGCGTCAGGGAGCTCACTCACAGTATCCCCCCACCCTTCCCACGGTAGACATCTCTGAGAAGCAGCAGATCTTTCTTAGGCGAGAATGGGAATGACTGCAGAGGGATATGGGGGCCTCCTCTTGAGGTGATGAACATGTTTTGGAGGTAGAGACAGGTGGTGTTCGCACAACATTGAGAATCTCCTAATTCCAATTAAACTGTTCACTTTAGAACAGCTAACTTTCTGTTATGTGAATGTCAGCTCAAAAAAAAGAGCATGAGTTTTATCATTTCTGGAGATCTCCCTAAATACCAACATTGGGGTAAAATGTCACATAGTACTGTCTCAATGAATCCTCACAGAAACCTGATGAGACAAGTACTTCTATTATTTCCAGGTTTACAAGGGAGATAATGGAAGCTCAGAGAGGTTAAGCAAGTTGCCTGAGGTGACACAGGAAGGGCCAAGCCCAGGTCTACCTCTCTCCCCAAATGGTGTTGTACTGCTCCCCCTGCCAGTCTTTTATTTTTTCGGAAAAACTGGAAAGATAAAAAGGAAGCTATCCCACTCGTGGTGAGCTGGTTGACTGCCAACGACCCTTTCCACTTCTGAAACTGAAAATTAAATGACCCCAGGCCAGGCCCCTGCAAACACTCTGCGAACTTCAAGTTAGTCCGTTTATTTGTAACAAATATTTGTTGTCGTGTAATAAGTATTTACCCCGTGTTTGCCATGTGCCAGGTACTGGGGATGTCAGGGGGAACAACACAGATACGACCCCCCCACTGCAGCAGACCCTGTTGGTGTCCCCCAGCTAAGTGCCCTTGGCACCGTTCCCGTGCATATTACACGGGCCTTCTCAATGGCTAGCCCCTGCACCTCCCTGCCCGAGCGCCCTCTGGCCCTTGAAAAGCTTGGCTCCTGCAAAGGGCGGGCCGGAAGTGGTAAGGAGTTACCTCCCGTGTCCCCAGCAGCCCTTAATCGATGATTGACTAGACTCATGAAGCACCCCAGCTCCCTGGCTCCTTGCGCGGGATAACTCTGAGATGCCCGCTCTCTCTGAGCTCTGAGAAGTCTCCAGCAGGACTGAACCTCTCAGTTGCCCGTGGACCTAACTTGTTTAACACCCTTTACTGGCTGCCTTCTCTTCCCTGCAGCGCTGCCCTGCTCGTATCCCGGGGCTTCCTGGGGGGCCTGATACATTTCTCACACTTGAATTCCTGTTTTGGGGTCTGCTTCTAAAGCACTCCAACTAAGGCATTTCCCTCAGGGACTTTACAGTCACTAGGCTGTTGCACACAGAGGGAGTGGGAATCACAAAGGAAGGCGTTGGGTACTATGGGCATGTATAACTGGGGGTTTGCCCTAGTGTACAGGGCCAGGGAAATTGATGGTGCTGGACAAGAAGAGGGGTAGGGAGAGAATTTTCTGTTTTTTTTCCTTAGGGCAGCTTGCAAGTAGTGTCTTAGAAACATCTTTATGCAGGTGTGATTAAATAATTCACTACATGCCTTGCGGAATGCAAATAACTTCCATTCACTGATATAACACTCTGGGAGAGAATTTTCTAAGCAGAGAGAGTCATGTGTGCAAGCACACAGAAGACAAAAGAAATTTTGAAATGCGTAAGACACTGTAGCAGGCTGAAGGCTTCCCTCCCAACCCCCAAAGAGGTCCATGTCCAGATCCCTAAAACCTGTGAATATGTTACTTTCCAGGGCAAAAGGGACAGTGCAGATGTCATTAAGCATCTTGGGATGGGGAGATAATCCTGGATCATCCAGGTGAGTCCAGTATAATCACAAGGTTCCTTAAAAGAGTCAAGGAAGAGGGTCAGAGTCAGAAAAAGGCAGTGCAACGATGTAAGGAGAAGTCAGCAAGAGGTTTGAAGATGCTCCTCCTCGCTTCGTGGATGGAAGAAGAGGCCATGAGCCAAGGAATGCAGGCAGCATCCAGAAGCTGGGGAAGGGGGGAAAATGCGTTCTCCCCAGAGCCCCTGGAGGAATCCTGGCCATGCAGACGTCTTGGTTTTGGCCCGGTGAAATCCGGCTTGGACTTTTGACTTCCAGAACTGTAAGATCTGAATGTGCAGTGTTTTAAGCCACTAAATTTGCAGTGGCTTGATGCAGCAGCACTAGAAAGTGCGTACAGAAAGTGCTCACAGTTTTGGAAGTGGGGGGAAGTTTGCCTGAGGTGGTGGGAGAGCAGGAGAGGGGAGCAGGCAGTGAGGTCAGATGGATGGGCTCTGAATGTTTGTGCTCCCTCAGATTAATACGATGAAATCCTAACCCCCAGGATGACGGGAGCAGGAGTTGGGGGTCTTTGGGAGGTGATGAGGTCATGAGGGTGGAACCTCCATGAATGGGATTAGTGCCCTTATAAAAGGGACCCCACAAAGCTCCCTGGCCCCTCCTACCATGTGAGAACACAGTGAGAAGACACCATCTCTGATCCAGAAAGAGGTTCTTGACCAGAATGTGACCATGCTGGCACCCTGATCTTACACTTCCCAGCCTCCAGAACTGTGAGAAATAAGTGTTTGATATTTGTAAGCCACCCAGCCCGTGATATTTTGTTACAGCAGCTCAAATGGACTAAGACAGTAGGGCTGTGGGGGTAGCGGGGGCGGTGGTGCAGAGATCCATTCTGGACAAGAACGCCCCCGCTGGCTGTGTTTGCGCATTACAGGGAAAGACAGCCACAGGGGGACCCCTTTAAGAGGTGGCCAGAACCGACTGAAAGGTGGGGGTGGGAAGTGGGGTGCAGGGTTGGAGGAAACAGATTTTAAATTATTAGGAGTAAAATCAATAGGGTGTTTGACTGCAAACAAAGTCTTCTAGTGCTCAACAGAGCGGCTGGCTTCTCTGATGCTCTGATGTTGATTCAGGCGTTAAATCAATGAGAAGGATATGCTCTATAACCCAAGGCAGAGAAGTTGCAGGCTAAAGTATGGCTTTCCTGGGCCTGAGGCCCCTTCAGTTTTGTGACCCCTTCATCCTTAAAATCATTGTTTTAAAACTGATTGGTATACCTGACATGGGGTCCCTAGTGTAGTCAAAATCATAGCGAACAGAAAACAGCATGGTGGTTGCCAGGGGCTGGGAGAGGAGAGAACAGGGCATTATTGTTGCCCCAGGACAGAATTTCAGTTGCACTAGGGAAAATGAGTTTTAGGAATGGACGGTGGGGATGGTCACACGACTTTGTGAATGTACTTAATGCCTTAAAGATGGTTAAGATTTTAAATTTAACATTCAGTGTATTTTGCCACAATAAAAAGAAGTGGAAAAAAACTGCATTGGCGTAGAGATGAATTAATCTAGGTTGGATTATGTAATTTTAGTTTAAATCTTTGCAGTCGTATATAATTATTTCATATGACATATGATAAAAATATTGTACATAGTATAAATGCTGTATGTTACATATTTATAGGTTTCTTCTGATGTTAAAAGAAATTTTTTTTTTAACCTGGCCTCCTCGCCGTTTTCTGAACATCTGACACACACCTGCTTCCGGGACTTTGCAGTAACCGTTCCCTCAGCCTAGAATACTCTTCTGCAGATATTTGTATGGCCAGATGTCTCACTCCAAGTTTCTGTTCAAATGTCACATCATCTGAGAAACCTTTTTCAGACTCAGTATCTAAAGTAGCAGCCTCCCCCCCCCTCCCCCCCCCACTAATTCTATTCTTACTTCGCCTTTCCTGGATTTATAACTCTTATCACCCTTGAAATATATATCGTTTATTGCTTGTCTCTTCCCCACTAACATGTAAGCTCTTTGATGGCAGGGGTTTTGTCACTACATTTGTAGTAATTAGAAGAGCATTCACATGTATAAGGTGCTCAGGTTATTGAACAAACAAATGGGAAGTGCACATTTGAAAGTAACGCGGACATTACCTTCGAAGGCTAACTCCTGAGCTCTCCTTTCAGAAGATATCATCAATCTCTCACCTTTCACCACCTCCGCGACGGTTTATTGTCATATACATCTTTCTGACACTTCTGCAGGTGACTCCTAATTGCCTCCCCCGTTTCGGCAGCTAGCAGCCTGCATCTTTTAGGCAGGTAATCAGATCTCTCATACTGCTGTTTAAAACCTGATTGTTTCGTGTCATTTTTAAAGTAGAATTCACACTCTTTACTATGGTCTGCAGCACTACAAGATGTATCTACCTGCTACCTAATTTGCTAACTTCTTTCTTTGTTTTTTTTTAACACTTTCTTGCTCAAACTGTGCTTTAATGTCTCCCAGACATGCGCAGTGCTTCTTCGCCATAGGGCCTGTGTGTAGTTACGCCTCTGCCCTGACCGGTCTTCTTCAGCGCCCTCACGCGTCTGTCTCTTTTACACACAGGTCTCATTCTCATCTTCAATTTCCTTTCTCAGAAAGGTCGTCACTGTCCACCAATCCAAAATAGCTTCTCCATTCACTCTTAATTTTGGTTTATGATAAGTTATAAAGAAAATGATCTTGATTATTAATTTTCTTTTCTTTCCTCTTGATTCTTTTTTTAATTGAAGTATCGTTGATACACAATCTTATGATGGTTTTAAATAAACAACACAGGAGGTTCAACAGTTACCCATATTGTTAAATCCTCACCCCCTCTAGTGCGGTTACTATCTCTTAACGTAGTACCATGTTACAGAATCATTGACGATATTCTCCATGCTGTATTACTGTCCCCATGACCAACTTATATTGTGATTGCAAATTATTGTGTGGGCCCCTCTATTAGTGTGAGCCGTGATCAGTGCAGACATTGGTCCCGGGAAATTGGGAGCAGGGAGGGAATACATTTCAAATAATGGTGTGCATCAGACTTCCCTGGGAAGCTTATTAGAATGCGTATCTCAAAGCCATGCCCTCTGAGGTTCAGACTCTGTAGATTTAGAGTGTGGTCCAGGAATATGCATTATTGATGGGCCCCGTATATTTTCTCATGCACTGGGCCCTGCACCATTCTTTGGGGCAGTGGAGTACCTTATGTAGGGGCACCTCCACATTTTTTAAAGTCCAGACTTAATCCCTTGTTTGCTGGGTTGCATTTCAAGTCTTGCTGGTGCTCAGAGCCTATTTCTTCATCTCTCCACGGGGATGATGACACCCATGGGATCACTGAGAGGCTCACTGGGTGCTCACAAAGCAACCCGGGGCAGCAGCTGAAATCTCAGCTTGGAGACAATTGAGGGGATGTGCAATCTCTGTTGGGAACATTGGGTGTGCTGAGGTGACATCTGGGGCAGTGTCAGCAGGGATAAATCGGCAGGCTGCACCCCAAAAGTTAAGGCATTGACTCAAGGGGAGCATCTGCAACCCTTCACAAGGTGTTTGGACGTGATGCGTGAGCAAAGACGCCAGCAAAGGGACAATCCCCAGCCCCAGGAAGGACCTGCGAGAGGCTCAAAAGCCAGAAGGTGGTGGCAGCTCTGTGCTCCCAGAAGATGCATGGGTTAAGCCAATGGGATCCCTTTCTCTTTGGTTTGACCAAGAGGGACACTGGCCAATGGAGAGAGAGGGGTAGGGCCATTTATTCCCCCAGCATCTGGGTGGCAGTTCTGCAAGCAGTACCTCAGATAGGGGCACCTGTCCCTACAGATCTACCTCATCCCTTCAGACTTACACATGGCAAAGGCAACTCCCCACAATTCCTAGCAGTACCTTGATTCTGTGCTATCCCATGCAGTTTCCCTACGTCCTGCCTACATCTTTGCAAATACAGGTGATTCTCATTATTCATGGCAGTTATGTTCTATGAAGTCTCCCAAATACTGAACCATTGCTCCCAGAGGAAATACAGAAATGAGTTCTTGGGAGCCTCCGGTCATATTTTTGTTAATGGATGAATACATAACTTTGTTTTATGTGTGTTTCTATTTAAATATATATTGTCCAATAAAATATATATTAATGTGAGTCATTAATGTTGAACTCGGCCAACAGCATTGCAATGCATGCCCAAGCTTGTGTAAAACACACATTCTCTGGGTAAGGCATATTGTAGTCTTCCAGAGCTTAGGAGTGTCAGCACTTCAGCACTATGCTGAGGGGCCATTTTAAACAGCAAAAACTAACCAAAGGCACAAAAATATGAAAAATGTGGCACTAGGTAGACCCTGAAAAGGACACTTGTTTAAATAGGAGAGCTGAAACAAGAAGGCAGGATGTCTCTGTTCAGCCTCAGCTGGGAATGGTAGGCCCCTAAATTCTTTCACAGCTCTGTGCCTATCTGCAAATGACAGTAGGAGCACCACAATATTAATCTCAGGGGTGGGGGTGGGGATTATGAACACATTTCAGTGAGTTAGGCAATTTCACAAATACAAAAATCTCTGAATCATGAGGATCAACTGTCATCTCTTTGTAAAACTTTTTTTCAATTTCATGTGCTCTGTGTCCAGTTGGTATCCTGATTGGTACAGGGAGGAAAAGAACATTCCCAGGAAAGTCTGAGCCCCAGGGAGCCCCTGGTGACCCCCCAGGCTGCGAAGTCCCTTTTGAGATAAGGCAGCTGTGATGCCCAGTGGTTCTGGGTCAGATACGGCTGATCTGAATCCCACCAGCTCTGCTCCTTCTCATTTCTGTGCTCCTGGGCAGGAAGCTCCCTTTTTTGTGTGTACTTCTTGTATATTTCCCTGTCAAATGGGCATACTTTATCCCATCTCTACTTGGTTTTTATGGGGACCTATGGAGATCATGCTGCACTTCCATACCTGTGAGTAATTTATGATTGGAAGTTTGCACTTCGTTTTCCCCTTCACCAATATCGCCCACCCCTCAACTGCCTCCCCTGCGATAATCAGGCCATGGTGTGTGTTTAGGAGTCCGTTTCTGTTTTGCCTATTTGTTTTTTAGATTCTGTATATAAGGGAAAGCATAAGGTATTTGTCTTTCTCTGCGCAGCTTATTTCACTGAGCATGATAACCTTTAGGTTCATCCGCGTTGTCCCAGATGGCAAGATTTCATTCTTTTTTTATGGAAGCCTGGATTTGAACCTCAGAAACCTGGCGCCCAAATCCATCCTGTGAATTTCCAAGCTGCACCGCCCATAATGCGTTGTAAGGTTAGTGCTTGAGATACAAACAGTAGGCGCCTAATAAATGCTAATTATTATAATTTCTTTAAATGATAATTCTGCTGGAGGGAGCTCAGAGGGAGGAGGGGGAGGGGAGGGCGGAGCCATGGGCCGAGTCTGGCTCCGCGCGGGGCCAGCCGGCAGGGCAGGGGTGAGACTGTCACCGCGCGGCGGCGCTGGACTAGGCAGGGGGCGGCGGGCGCGGGTCCCAGTCGCTGACTAGGCGCCACGCGGGCTCGTAGCAAACGCGCAGGTGGCGCCGGCGGAGACGCAGGCGCAACACGTTGCTGTCCACGTCCTGCCCGATCTTCTTGCAGTTGAGGCTGCAGGTGAGATTCTTGTGCATGGCGGGCAGCTCCGTTCCACGTGAGAGATGTGACTCTCAAGCTCGTCGGCGCTCTGGGGAGGGGGCGGGGCCGTGCTGGGGGTCAGGTGGTTTGGAGCGCTGGCCCAACGCCTGTGGTGGGGGCTTGGCGGGGGGTGGCGACACACCTGGACCAGGTGTTAAAGGAACACCCCTGGAGAGAGGGCGGGCCTCCGAAAGGAGCCACACACCTAGGTCAGGTGGGCTTGCGAAAGGCGCACCCCTGGAGAGAGGACGGGCCTCGGAAGGGGGAGCTACACACCTGGGCTTAGGTGCGTGAGGAAGCATCCAGCCCAGGAGAGAGCAGAGCTGGGAGGCAGGCCTCACGCAGGGGCTGGGAGCGACGCACCTGGGTCAGATGCGCTTGAAAATGAACCTGCGACAGGGCAAGCTTGAGGGAAAGGATGCACCTGGGGAGCGAGGGGCGGGAGGACCTGGGATGTGGGAGAGCATCTGCTCAAGATGCGCTCGGAAGCACCTCTTCAAACGTGGGCTGAGAGAAGGGGCCGGATCGCGACGGGATGTTGGGGGAGGCGGTCAGAGGTTGAAGGGACTTCTCCGAGACCCCCACCCCCTCAGGCCCTTCCCCCAGGCCACACCTTCATGAGGCCGCGGGTGATGTGCATCTCCTGGCTGTATTACGTGCACTGGCGGATGGTTTCCCTCAACAGTCCTGCGGTCATGTTCATTCTTTCCCGGGGGTGGGGGTGGGGAGGTAGAAAGCCCAGGGGGCACCCGCGGGCCTCCGGACCCCTTCCTCCCGCGCGCCCCTCTCCAGTCTCCGCCCTCGTCCCCAGCCACCTGGCAGCAGGGCCCACTCCGCGCACCTGCAGCTCCGAGGTCTCGCGCATCTTCTGTGCCAGCGAGGCGCACACGCGATCGCTTCTGTGCTGCTGCTGTTTGCGGATGTTCTCGTTCTTGGCCATTTCTAGCAAAGTGTTCTTGGACTCCATCAGAAGTCGCTTGGCTTCGTACAGCGCCGTGGCGCACCCTGCGGGTGGACGCGTGGGGCGTGGAGCGCCAAGGCCTCCCATTCCCATCCCTGGCTTTCTGAGCTCCCCACTCTCAATTCTAAGGCGGTGGTGGGCCCTGGGCAAGGGGCTTTATTGAGGGACTGGGAGGAAGTCCCGGGCAGAGGCGAGGCTGCTAGTGGAGTTACAGGCAGTGGTCTCTGGAAACGAGGGTGCGAGTATGGGAAGGGGCTGAAGCCAAAGAGCCGATCGAGCTCGTGGCTCCCCTGCAGGCTGGCTCTCAGGCCTCGCCCCTGCTCCAGGGGGTCAGTCCTCCAGGGAAAGCATCAGCGAAGTACGGGAGAGGAGGGCACGGAGGCCCTTTCTGTGGGGGCCTACCTGGGGTGGAGGTGCGCACAGGGTCTGGAGGCGGCGTTTTCTGGCCCTAAGCGCTCAGGGTGGGGACGCGCTGGAGGTTCACCCAGGAGTGCCGGCCGGCCTGCTTCAGAACCTTGTCTAGCGGCTGGTTCATTAGGTCCGCAGCTTGGAGCCTCTCCTTAAAGCAGAAGCCCAGAGCGTCCCGGCAGGAGGCCAGGGCCTGGAGGAGGCGGGTGGAAGGAGAAAGACGCAGAGGAGAAGGGGGAGTGTGAGCTGAGAGGTTAGGGTAGATGGGTGAAGTGATTTCTCTGCTGGGGACTGCAAAGCATTTCTGTCTTCAAACAACCTCTCCAGCTCTCGTTGCAACCAGAAAGGGGCGATTTCCAAGCCCAGGCTCAGATGCCCCGCCCCCTATCCTCTGTCTGGAAGCCTTTAATGACCCCCTGGGTCGGGAGAGGGGGAGCAGTAGGGGATGGTGGCTGCGTCCCGTCCCGGTCCTGGGTGTCAATTTCTTAGGTTCTGTGCCTGGCTTTGCTCTGGCACGCCCAAGAAAGCTTCCCCCCGCCCCCCGTCAATTTCCCCATCTGCAAAGTGGAGGGGTAGCCTGGTTCTACCTACATCTCCCTCTCAGTCTTCCTGTATCATCTCTTGGCAGCACAACTGCATTCAGGGCTTATCCCACCCCTTCCCCTAGCTTTGGGGTTTCCCGTCCTCTGCTCTAATTAGTATCAGGAGCTCCCTGCTGTCATCAGAGCCTCCTACACCCCTAGGATCTATCTCGTCTGGACCCCTATCTCCATCTACACCCTGCTTCTACCATGATAAAAGGAAGCATAATGAATTCCTTTAATACTTGAGTTATTTGAAAGTTATATTGTAACAGAAGTCTTTTCAAGTAATGACTCTGCAGCATCTTACTATGCTGATGGACAGTGACTGCAATGGGGTGTAGGGGGAACTTGATAATATGGGTGAATGCTGAAACCACAATGTTGTTGGTGTGAAACCTTTGTAAGATTGTATATCAATGATACCTTAATTTAAAAAAAACAAAAAACATTAGTCTTTTCACATATGTATATACCCATATAAACACACATCTCATCAAAATAAGGATCACCCCAGGAATTTCTCTGGTGCCCCTTTCCCCTCCCTACTAAGCTGCTTTTTAGATGGGTTTTGCCTGTTCTTTAAGGGGTCTGTAAACTACAGCCTATGGACAGGTTGCCTCTCTGTAACTAAAGCTTTATTGGAACCCGGCCCCACTCATTCATGGACCAATTGTCTCTGGTTGTTTTTGTGCTATATGAGCCCTAACTGAATAGTTTTGACAGAGACTGTTCCACACACAAAGCCTAAAATATTTATTATCTTATGCTTTAAGAAAAAACTTTTGAAATCTAGAACCCCATATATACAGAATCATACAGGGTGTATGCTTTATGGCTAGCTGCTTTTGCTGAATATCCTATCTTTGTGATTCATCCATATGGGTAAAAAAAATGGATTTAAAAAGTCTCCCATTCACTAATTCAAATATTCAGCAAGCCCTTCCTGCATACCAGGCAGTGTGCTGGGGAGGAGGGATGCAGTGGGGAAAACTGAACCAGGTCCTGCCTGAAAAAGTCACAGAGTCAGCATGTGCGGACTAGATCAGCTAGTGAACGGATCACAGACATGGGGATTGCCTGGGCCGGGTGCATGGGATCGAGAGAGGTGTTTTGCTTTTTTTTTAAACATGGTATACATATTCAGTTGACCCTTGATCAACATGGATTTGAAGTACATCTACTTACATGTGGATTTTTTTCAATAAATATATTGGAAAGTGTTTTGGAGATTTGGAGTTTGAAAAAGCATTATCTTTTCTCTAGCTTAACTTCATTTTAAGAATAGGTATATAATACCCATAACATACAAAATATGTGTTAATTGACTGTTTATGTTATTGGCAAGGCTTCCTGTCAACAGTAGGCTATTAATAGTTCATTTTTGGGGGAGTCAAGGGTCATACATGGATTTTTGACTGTGCAGGGGTCAGTGCCTCAGCCTCTGCATTGTTCATAGGTCTACTATAATATACATAATGTATTAACATTATAAATTATTACTAATACATTAATGTACTAATAATATACAGTAATAAAAATATATTAATATTTTATACAGATATATTGATATATAATAATATGTAATATAAAATATGAGACAACACATAGTGGAATATTACTCGGCCTTGAAAAAGAAGGAGTTCTTGCCATTTGTGACAACACGGATGAACCTGGAGGATGTCATGCAAAATGAAATAAGCCAGATGCAGGAAGATCTCACTCATATGGAATCTAAAATAGTCAAATTCATCGAAGCAGAAAGTAGAATGATGGCTGCCAGGGGCTTTGGGGAGGGAGAAGTGGGGAGATGTTCATCAAGGGGTACAAAGTTTCAGTTATGCTAGATAAGATGAAGTTCTGGAGACCTCATGTACCACAGTGTGACTCTATTTAATAACACTGTATTTTATCATTGAAATTGGCTAAGAGGGTGGATCGTAAGTGTCCTCACCACACACAGAAAGGTAACCACGGGATGTGATGGATATGTTAATTACCTTGATTATGGTGATTATTTCACATTGTATACATATAGCAAATCATCAGGCTGTACACCTTAAATATATGCAATTTAAAAATGTCAATTATACCTCAATAAAGATGGGAATAGAAGATACCTGAGCTGAAACCACAGCCCCACCACTGCCTAGCACAGTGCCTTGGGTGAGGTTGTGTCTCTCTGAGCCTCAATTTCCCCATCTCTAATGAAAGGACCATCATCTCTCTTTTACAGGAGTGTTTTAAAGGAGTTAATGACTGCAAAGGGAACAACACAGAGGGTGTATTCATTGTTATTTTGAGGGCCAACTCCATTTCTCAGAGCACCAGTTTTCCTATTTCACAAATGGAAATATGGAGTGTCAGGTCTGGGTGGAGGTGAGCATGTGGGTGGCGGGGTTTTCTGTGGCTACAGTTCCCAAGGGCAGAGCAGTTTGCCTACCAGGCAGCCATGAATTCCCCTGTCACCCCCTTAACTGGGCCCCAGGTATTTCCAACCTTGAGCAAGGCCGCAGATTTTTCCATATCTTTCTCCATCTTCCTCTTTATGCTCTTTAACTCATGCTTCTCCTGGGTAAGCTTGCTGTCGACTCTGTGAGGGATCTGCAAGACAAGGAGAGAAGCTCTCACACCCTTGGGAGAGGGCTGGAGGGAGAATACTTCTTCCAGGGTCATGGAGGGGTTTCCAATTTCATAAACTCTGGGTTTGGAGAATACAGTTGGGGGCACTCTCACCTTTTGGGGATCCCACTCCCTGAGAAGGCTTTATCCTTTCAGGGGGCTCTCAGTAGGGGTGTCTTACCCTCTAGAGAATGGGCTGGGAGCATCTTTCTGTTGCAGGAAGGAGTCCAGTGAGCTGGGATGAAGGTGACTTAACTTCCTTAGGGGAAGGTTGTTCTCACTCTCTGGGGCTGGAGGGTGCCCCTTCCTTGGGGATGGTATTACCCCCCTTCCTGGCTTGATGTAGAGGCATCTCAACATAGGGGCGGTCAGGATTTGCCTTTTGGGGTCTTACTATCTGGACTTGGGGGCTGGGAGTAGGAAACCCATCCTGTAGGTGGGGTCTCCCCTCTCCAGGGAGGGTGGGATGTCTGTCCTTTTCGGTGTGTGGAGGTCTGAGGATTTCACCAGGTCTGGGGCTAGGGGTCTCACCCTTTCCCCGTGGTTGGGGGTTTAACTGTCATGTACAGGGGCTGGGCATCTGAGGGTCCCAACCTGTAGGCAAGAACCTCTTCCTTTCTCCTCAGATGAGGCCTGGGGAGGAGTTCTCACTTCCTGAATCTGGTGAGGTGGGAGTTGAGGTTTAAAAAAATTGGGGGGAGAGTTTCATGGGTTGGGACCAGCACATCAACTGGGAACTTTAAGTGTGTAGTCACTGGGACTGGAGCATTGAGGGTCTCATGCCCAGGAGAGTGTTTCACCCTCTGAGCCTGGGGGCTGGGTGGGTGATTTTATTCCCAGGCTGCAGGGTGTGGATTTTGCGCCCTTTGGGAAGAATTTCATCTTACTCGGGAATCCCACCTTCTCTCCCTGGCTCGGGAATTGGGCTCGATTTCCCTTCTAAAGGCATGGCGGCTGAGGACCTCATCCCCCTGGGAGAGCCCCACCCCCGGGGCTCGGAATAGGGGCCCCTCATCTTGCGGGCGTTCTCATCTCGTGCCCTTCCTGGAGCTGGGGTCTGGGCAGGAGGCATTCTCTCTGCAGGGAGGGTTTTCCCAGGCTGAGCTTCCAGGGACTGATGACTCAGTCTTTGAGAGTGGGCGCAGGGAGAGGCGTGGTCTCACCTCCTCCGCCCTGGGCGGGTAGTCCCGCAGCTTGACGCTCTGCTGGTTGATCAGCAGGCCTTTGCTCACTTCGCCGAGCCTGCGGTCGGTAGCTTGAGCCTGCGGTCGGTAGCCTGACGCTGGCGCTGCAGCAGCCGCAGCTGTCCATCAATCCAGACACGCGGCAGTGAGGCGCGCCTCACGCGCGTGCGCGAGCATCACCCCGGCCGGCTGCTGGGCCAGCGCGTCGCGGTGCTTGGGTGGCTTCAGGCGGGCGTGCCGGGCACGCCGCTTCGTTTTGCTGTTCCACGGTGGCTTCTCCACCGTGCTGCCCGCCTTCGAGCATCTCCACGGGGAAGCGACAGGGCGGGATGTAGGCGTCGCGGCAGGGCTGGTGCGCCACGTGCGGGTCCCTTACGCTGCCCTTAGGTTGCCGCATGGTCACTGCCTCCTGCTCGCAGCGCTCAGCCAGCTGCTGCGCCTTCAGCGTCGTGGCCTTGGCCGCCTCGCGCCGTGCAGCAGCCCTCACGCGTGTGTCCTGGCTGCGCCCAGCCTGGGCAGTCAGCACGGGCATCGTCCCTGCTCCGTGTCCCGGCCTGGCCCAGGGTTCTCCACCCCAGCCAACCACCCGCAACTCCTTCCTGGCCTGAAGAGCGAGCGGCACAGAATGCCTGTCACCATGACAACTGTGACAGCAGCGCAGACGGATTCCAGAGGCGGGGGAGGGGAAAGGCTAGCGGGAGGCGCTGGATGGAGTCTTAGCTTTGGAGCGCCACAGAGGGGGCTTGGAATCCTGGCCCCTTGAGAAAGCAACTTCATTTAAACTCCTCTCTCCCTCTTGCTTCTACCTTTCCAGCCACAAGGGCTTTCTCCCACTTCTTAGGATATGCTAAGCTCTTTCCCACTTCAAAGCTTTGGATTTGTTGTTCATTCTGCATGGCATCCTCCCTCCCAATGCCCTTTGCACGGCTGGCACCTTTTCCATCTTCAGAACCCAAGCTTAAAATATCACCATCTTAACTGGATCTTTCCTTAGCACTATATCCAAGCCCTACTCTCTCTCATCACTCAGGATTTTTAGTGCCAGCCCCAGGAATGGAAAAGGTCAGAGCCAAGAAACAATAAGAACTGTAGTGGCTCTTGAGGACACCCTGGCTACTATTGCAGAGCTCTCAACTCCATCTTCTGTCTCCAGAAGTGGCACCGCTACCAGGGCCACCAACCCTGTCAGTTGTCTATGGGACCTGCATCCCTGCCTCTTTAGTTCCCAGCGTCCAATCTGGCTGGAGGTAATTGGGTTAGCCTGTGTCACATGGCCAGGCCCTAGCTGCAAGGGAAATTGGGAAAGTGAGTCATGTGTGAACTTCTTGTTTCTATGGGGGGGAGGAAGGACTTTGCATGCGGAATTCCTCCAACAGGAAGCAGATCAGAACCTGGGGAAGAAAAAAGAGACAACTGCCCTCCATCCCTTCCTCATAATCCTCCATCCTGTCACCTTGCTTGTTTTCTTATAGTGATGGAATTTTTACTTGGGCAATTTGTAGACACCTCAAACTCAATAGATCCCAAAGGAAACTTCAGATTAATACCCCCAATGTTTTTCTTCTAGTGCCCCTTTGACTTGATAGTTGGCCCCCCCTCTCCATTGCTGTGTTAAAAACATAAGAAGCTTCCTTAAAATTTTCACATCCACATCCAACCCATCTGTAAGTTTTCCCTTCCCTACCCCCAATAGTATCATTTTTTCTCCTCCACTGCTGCCACCAGCATTCTTATTCTCTCACTTGCCCTTTTCTCCTTAAATTTATTCTCCACACTGAAGCCAGCTGTTTTCACCTAAGCACATCCCTTCCTTACTTAAGCCCCTTCGGGGAATCTTGTACTTAGAATCAAACCAAACTCCTTACTTGCAAAGCTGTGTCTGATGTGGCTTTTCTTTCTTCCCTGAACTAACTCACCTTCTACCTCCCCTCTGCAGGCCTATTCACTGTGTTCCCATCTTTGTGTTTCTTTAACACATCATGCTAGTTCCTACCCCAGGGCCTTTGCACCAGCTTTTATGCTTTCGGGTGGATCCATTTCCCTCAAGAGTTTTACCTGGCTGGGTTCTTAGTGTCCTTCAGGGAGGTCTTACCTCTTAGCTCTTCTTAGATTATTCAGAATATTCTCTTAGTCTTACAGTTTCTTCATATAGTGTCTTACAGCACTTTCCACTCTCTGAAAGTCTCTTGTTCATTTGTTTGTTTGCTTTAAAATTTTCAATCTCCCCCAACCCCTGCAACCTGCCCGGGAAGAATCTAAGAGCTTTGAGAGCAGGACCCTTGCTCTCAAGTGCCTAGCTCAGCTCATGGCACATGGTAGGTCCTCAGCACATATGCAATGAAGAAATGGGTGGCATCAGTCACATGCAGTGACCCCTTATTTGGTTTTTTTTTTTTGAGATGAAATTCTCATAAATAAAAACTAACCATTTTAAAGTGCACAATTTGAAGGCATTTAGTGCATTCACAGTGTTGTACACCCACCAACTCTGTCTCATTCTAAAACATTTTTATCATCGCAAAGTAAAACTCCAAGCCCCATGGTCTCACTCCACTCCCTTCTTCCCCTAGGTCTTGACAACCACTAGTTGACCTTCTGTCTGTATGGATGTACCTGTTCTGTGTGCTTCATGTAAACTAATAATACACAGTGTGACCTTTGTGTCTGGCCTCTTTCACTTAGCGTAATATTTTCTAGATTCATGCACATCAGAGCATTCATCAGTACTTCATTCCCTTTTATGGCCACATCTTGTTGTGTTCATATACCATGACTTTGTTTATCCATCGATCCATTGATGGACATTATATTTGCTTTTTACTTGTCTCCTTTGTCCATCTTCCCCATCAGACTATGAGCCTCAGGAGGCTCTCTTCTATGCTGCTGTATCCCAGCACTCAGCATGGACTGTGGCTCATAGTTAGTAATCAATGAACATTTATTAAACAAATACATGAGTGAGGGAATGAATAAGCATTTTCTTGTCAGGGATTGGGAGGTGCAAGGATGAAGAGGGGATGAATGGCCCTGGCTTTGCAAGACCAAAGTATCACTCAGTAACAGGGAAAAATAAGATGGACAACTGAAGGCTCCCAGGCCAGCCATGCTGGAGAGCCACCAGGGTCACCAGGAACAGATGGGGGCAGGAACTCCGGGTGGTGGAGGCTTGTTTCAGGGGTACACAGGAATGTGGGGTTAGCACAGTCACCAGTGGCTAGACTCAGTGGTATCTGACTCAACAAATCTTCACCAGAGTCAGGAGAGAGTCAGATGCTGGAGCCAGACAAACTTGAGTTCAACATATGATTCTGACACCTGCTGTCTGTGCAATCTTGAGCAAGTTGCTTGACTTCTCTGTGCCTCTGTTTCTTCCTCTGTCTTCTAGGGTAATGGGATCGTGGCATGGATTAAATAAGTTGATATGCAGAACGTGCTTAGCGTGGTGGCTGATACAGAGTAATCCTTATGTAGGTGTTTACTTTGCATTCTTATTGAATGCATGAAGACTTGATGAATAAGCAATTCTAATGCCAGGAGGTGGAGAGAGGGTTTTGCGGGGAACCAGGGAGGCAGCCCTCTTGGAGCAACACCCTGTGCCCAACCACCCACTTTTGCTTGGTTCCTTTGCTGCTTGTTTTCCCAGCCAGAGCATTGCACTGGGCTGGCTGGCTGCCTGGTATGTGGAGCACCTCTGTGGTGCTCAAACTACCGCAGGGGCACCCAAGGAGGCCTTCTCGTGTGTCAGATCTGCATATGAAGGATTTTGGCTCCAGCAGGAGCCTCTGGTGAAGGTCATTAGGGCTGCGGGTCGGGGTGTAGCAATGTCTCATTCTGGATTTCTCAGTGGTTCAATCTATTCATGCCGACACACTCCTAGTATATATCTCTATTCTCCAAGCAGTGAAATTGGCACATCGTGCTCATCCACCAACTATTCATTTTTATCTTCCAACCCAAGTTTGACTATGTCAGCTTCTAGAACTCCCCTTGAGTTCCTGGCCCTGACACCTTTGTCTAGTCTAGACACCTTTCTCTAGCACAGGGAGACCATCTTCTGCTCTGCTGGTCGCATCCTATGCGGGCAGGAACTATAGACTAAATGTCTGTACCCTCTCCAAATTCATTTGTTCATTCCTAATGCCCAGTGTGATGGTATTTGGAAGCCCTTATCAATAGGATTGGTGACCTTATAAAATGGGACCCCACGGAGCTCCCTGGCCCCTGCCACCATGGGAGGACAGTGAGAAGACACCAATCCGTGAACCAGGGAATTCTCACCAGACACGGAATCCTTCCGCACCTTGATCTTGGACTCTCCAGCCTCCAGAAATGTCATAAATAAATGTCTGTTGTTTATAAGTCACCTGATCTATAGTATTTTGTGACAGCAGCCTGAACACAGTAAGACAGCAAGTGCCTACAGGGAACCCTAGCAGCTGGGGGTAGCTCTCAGTCTCCCAGAGATTCAGCTCCATGTGGCTGAACAGAAACGATGCAGCTCAAAAATTGCTGCGGGTATATTTTTATACATATGCAGAGGGCTGGGAAAAAATTTTCACAACTCTTCAAATCCAAGTACCTTTCTTAAACTAACCAATAAGCCTGTTTTTATGTCATTAAAGTAATGGATACACATTTTGAAAAGCACAGAATAATATAATGAGAATAAGAATCATCTGTCACTTTACCATCCAGAGATATCTATTCTGAAAATGTTTTCATTGTCACTGTAGCCATTTCTCTACCCCTATATATAGTTATAGTTATACACATCTCCCTCCTCCCAACGTACTGAAGTCCACATGTTTCTAACTTAGCCCAACGGGGAATAGTGTTTGTGAAACTAGCTCTGTGATTTTTATAATGAAGAATGCTTTACAGAAATTTCTTTTTGCAGCCATCTTTGCAGAGACCACCTGTTCCATATAATGGGTACTACAAAGTGGGGAACAGAATCTGTCTTCGGATTCAATAGAGTGAAACTGCAGGATGTATGAGGACGGAGAGCCTTCTGAAACTTCTAGCTTTTCTTTCCTTTTTTTTGTTTGGTAGTGCATGGAGATGCCCTTCACTGTGAAGTCTTGGCAGGTAATTATCAGAGGCCCCTTTTTAGGTTCCCCAATGTCTTCCCTTCTGGGGCACCAGGTTCTACTTTTAGCAGGTGCCCCCCTTTCTCTTGGAGATAATCACATCAGTTGGTCTCTCATTCCAGGGGGATATGACCTAGAATCAGTTTTGTCTTTGAGAAATGAGGTCAGTTTCCTGGGGGAGGCGTCAGGAGACCATGGGAAGCCCCAGGCTGGGAAAAGAGGTTCTTCCCAGTCACCTGTAAAGGTGGCCACTGTGCCGGTCGGGGAGGGATAAGGGCTGTTCCCTGTGACCCTGGTGCCTATCAGTCCCTAGAAATGGCTCAGGCAAAGGTCATTGGTGTCCTCCTGCAATTGACAAATTCCATTCAACTTGACCTCCAGGTGGCATTTGAGATTGTCTATCACCTGAAGCTTGAATCTCCTTCCCTCTCTGGAATGTTCTTCTCCTGAATTTTCACATGGCTCACTCTCTGTCATCCTTCAGGTCTCTGCTCAAATGTCTCCTGAAGAGCCCTCACTTGGCCATTTATCTGAAGTTTCATACCCCCCCCCATGAGTTATATTCTTCGTTCTCCTCATGGTACTTTCCATTTGTGATTCTCAGGCCTCCCTCTCTTAAATATCAACTCACCGAATCTAT